CGGCCGGCCTCTCGGTGCCCGCCGTGTTCCGCCAGTACGACGCCGACACGCCGCTCTGCGTCCAGCTGCTGGGTGGAGACACAGTGGCACGAGGGGGCGCCAACTGGTGGCGGTGGGGCCGCGCGGCCCGGCCTCCCTGGCTGATCGTGGTGAGCACTCCCGGCTGGCTGATGGATCACATAACCAGCGCCGAGGGCTTCTCGCTACCGCACCTGCGCTACCTGGTGATCGACGAAGCCGACCGGGTGATCGAGATGGCCGAGACGGGCTGGCTGAAAGCGGTGGAGCGGGTGGCGGCGGCCACGGCCCGCCGCCCTGCATCGCCGGCCGGCTGACGGCCGCCGCCGTCTGCGCGCCTCACCTGCCGCTTCAGAAGCTGCCATTCTTGGCCACCCTGTCACAGAACCCGGAGGCCGGAGAAGCTGGAGCGAATGTCGCTGTTCCAGCCGCGACTGCTGGTGGTCGGCACGGCGGCCGCCGCCGTCGCACTGCCCGGTCAGTTCGTCGGCAGGTTCACCACGCCGGCCGAGCTGAGCGAGTCGTTCAACGTGGTGGCGCCGCAGCCGCTGAAGCCGCTGCTGATGCACCATTTGCTCCGACAGCCCGACTGGCGACGCTCGCTCGTGTTGGTCAACTGGAACGAGGTGGCGCACCAGCTGGAGCTACCGCTGTTTGTGCTGGGCGCGCGCGTGACTGAGTTCTGTGGGGTAGTGCCGGCGTGCCGGCGGCGGCGCGCGCTAGCTGAGATGGCCGCACTGGTGTGCTCGAGGCTATAGCGCGCGGTATTGACGTGGACGCCGTGGACGCGGTCGTGTCGTACGACATCCCGGCGCTGTTGAAGACGTACACTGCGTGCGTCGGACGGCGCGCATCCGCCGGGCCGGCCAGGCGGTCAAGCTAATGTTGGAGCGGCAGCGCAGCAATTTCCAGCGGCTGATGGTGCAGGCGGGCGGCCGGGTGCGGGAGACGCTGGCGCTGCTGGACGAGCTACGAGCTGCGCCAGTACGAGGCGACCTACGTCAGTGGATTTCCACACTAGCTTCTAGTGGGTCGCTGTTGTTTTTTATGCTCATTGCTCATGATTGATTTACATTTTAGAAATATTGCAATGAAATAGATGTATGCCTTGTCATCAGCCTAGAAAAGTTAAAGTAAGTAAAGCGTTTTAGTTGCATAATGTATGTTTGTTCATGAACACGGATTTAACATGTCCTAACTCCCAAACATTTCGATATTAGACCCGAGTTACAAACCAATCGAAAGGCTTAGACGATCATTTGGGGCGTAGCCAGACGGCTCGGCTGGGTGTGAAAGCCGGCGACCAAGGTGGTGACCACCCGATCATAATGCACAGCGGTCTCCGTCGGACGATTGTGTCCGCGCGCAACGAATGATCTGGGCACACGCAGAGGAGTTCGGCAGGACTCTCCACTGAGCGGTACTGGGCGCAGTCGAACGACGGTCGACGACGCTAGCGCAGGTATTGTTAATTTGTTACGACTTACGAGCCGGACCAGTGTAGAGGGCCCGGAGCAAATATTCTTTGCTGTGTGGCGTTCCTTCTTCTCGACCGGGCCCGGCAAACGGTGCCTGCATATCGGCTAAAACCACCTAGCCGGGCAGTCTGACCTCCACCTCGCCGAAGCGGAGCGAACGACGTACCCTCAGCCCTGCAATGACCGCGGTGCAGCAGTTAATCTGGGTAGGTATTTTCCTAAGGTAAGACACTCTCCTTTGCACAATGCTTTACATATATAGGCCTTGGCGAGTTCGTTAGCCCTCTTACTCCCGCTAGAAGGTGCTAATGCAGTGCACGCGAAGCCGCCTCGTAGCACCGCAGTTCAACTTCAATCGCTCGGCAGCGGAACTGTCCGTCGTCCGTCCAGCTTCAGGTGGCGTCTCTGGGAGCAATGCTGACCGCTTATTTGCCGCTCTTTTGAAAGCTAGGAAAGAGGTGCGGCTCCCGGATCTGTCGGGAGCGGGACTCATAGGCGGCGGAACGGGTAGGGCACCGGGGCACCGTGCCCCCCTTTGATTTTGACATTTTAATATTAGCCCTATTGGCGTTGCATGGAAAGAATGGGACCAAAAGTCGGCAGTGCCTCCTTAATTGAAGGTGTTCCGCTGCCACTGGAGTGGGTCTCATCTAGTCCCCACCTCATAGCTGGAGGTCCACACATTGCGTTCTCGGTCTACACGATGATTTTCTACAAGGTGCGACTAAAAACAGACAAAAAGGTACATAACAAGTTGAAGGTATTGTAAAAATTAATATAATAGGCTGACAGGAAAAAAGATCCATCTTAAATTTGCCTTAAATGCAAGCTTCCTTACGTCACCTTTATGAATGACGTGCCTACGTTTACAATTTGGTAGTTTTGTATTGTATTGGCTTTTGCTGGGCACCAGAATGTTAATATAGATATGAAAGTTTATAATGCTCTACTTTGTTGTTATTACTCTTAAAAATAATGTAATAATTTACGATTATAATATTTCGAAATGTATATAGCATTTGCATTAGAAATCACGCTTCAATTTGATTGAAAACATGCTTTAAATGATTTATTAATCTCCTTGACATATCGTAATTTGATATCGTAACAGAATATCAGCTGACTACCGGCGACAAATAATTTCCGTCCGAAGTCGGCTGGAATTTTTTGTTGGTGAAACTCGTGGCTGTGTGGCGTCTATTTTTTCGGCTGGATATTTTATTTCGGCGGCCGGCTGGTATTTTTTGGTAAAACTGGCCTCAGGTCAAAGGTCAGGTCACCAGAGGTCAGCAAAGGTAAAATGTTGACTATTTCAACATTTTGGAAACTGCCAACGGCTATCTCGGGAACCGATAGAGCTACAGCGCCGCGGAAAATCGCATTCGATAGCCCTTTTATAGACCTTTCTGAGTAATGTTCTCAGATTTGACCTCGGGGTTTTTGGGCGCCCGGACTACAGTGGTCATCGGCGCGATTTGACCTCAGGTCAACGGTTTAGCCTCCAGAGGGCAAAAACTAAAAAATAGCCGTTTTTACAAAAAACGTTTTTTTTTTCGGCAATAACTTTTGACTCAAAAGAGCCATGACACCAGTATAGCGCCTTTTGGGGCGACTAACGGAGCGAGCGAGGGGGTGAGTCTTGCACGTGCGAAATTTCGAGGGGGTACCTCCAACTGACTTGTGCACGGCACCCTACTGACCGGTTTCTAGCGATGTGCCAAATTTGAGCACAACCGGTCCAGCCGTTCTCGAGATCTGGGAGCGGCACCCTGCACGTGCGCACGTGCAAAATGGGTCCCAACTGACTTGTGCACGGCACCCTACTAACTGGTCCCTAACCGTGTACCAAATTTCAGCGCCATCGGTGTAGCCGTTCTCGAGATCTGGAAACGACCCCTGCACGTGCGCACGTGCAGCAGCACCCCAACTCTGGCACATGGATATGCAGTGCCTAGTGGGTGCCTACCTACATGCCAACTTTCAGCGCAATCGGCCAAGTAGTTACCGAGATATTGCAACAATTACAAAACTGACACCTCTTCGTTTTGCGCGTGGCACGTGCATAAGGGGTCACCCACATGCATCGGGAATAGTCCAATACTTGGTAGAAGGAATGAAGCTACCCTACAAAAATTACCGCGTGTAAATCGGTCAAGTGGTTGCTGAGATATAAGCCTCGCAAAATCGTGACCACGGCCGGCCGGCCGGCCGCTCATACTCAGAAATTTCCGTTAATCTAAGGAAAGACTACGCTCGTTCGCTCGCTCCGTAATTACTTTTGCCAGCATCGTGTTCCTCTCGTCGAGACACGTCGAATGACCTATAATTGGACCTTGAAAGGTCAACTTGAAAATTTGACCTCAGGTCAAGGTCATGACCTGACCGGAAAAGGTCATGTTGCATATCAATCGATTTGCAACGTCTAGCCGAACACATCTAAGGCGTTTTCAGCGCTCTAGCATGTCTCTATCAGAAGTTATTAGCGAAAACTGTTCGATTCTGTTCGTGACCTGAGATGACCTCGGGGACATAACGAGGGGTCACAGTTGCCGTTTTCTGGTTCAGTGTGTCAATTTTACCTACATCTCGATGTTTGAGAGTGTCTAGAATTGCGTTCGTGCAAAACAGACGCTTTTCAATTTTCTCCCATTGACTTATAATGGAGAGGCCGCAAAATTGACCTGACCTTAGGTCACCGATATCAAAATTCCGAGATAAACATTTTATAGATAATGTTGCTCTAATCAATCGCTGTAAGTTTCAAGGCAATCGATCAATCGGTATAGCTATGACGAACATTCTTATTTCAGGTGAGGTCACTTGGCGTGACCTGGTGACCTGACCTAAGGCGACCTGGGTCTGAAATTTTCACAACATGTGCGGAAAAGATGCAGGAACAGGTGTGCCAAAGGCGCTCCGCGCCGCCGTTTTTGAGATATCTGCGAAAAACCGCAGGGGGGGGGGGGTGTTCCAACACCCCCCGGCCCGGCGCGGGTTACAAGGCGTTATGTAGGTACGCATATGTTTTAGGCTTTAAGCAACCGGTCATCTAAAGCCACACAACGTCAGGTCAGGCTGCCACTTACTTAGTACTAACCAGCTACCTACCGCTAAGAAGTTCAAGCGTGAGATACAACTATCCGTGCCGAGTTATGAATGATAATTCAAAATATTTATGATTTAGTAGATAACAGACCCTTAGCTAAGCCTTCTCCGCAGCACAATAATCACAGGGCAATTACTTGTCAAGTACACTGACAGTAGAAATGCACCCCACAGCCATACTATGCTGCAGCAAATAGTCCCCTCACAGTCACAACCGTTGCTGGAGACAGGGCCCGGGGCATGACATCACGGGCGAGCGTACCCTACCATGGACCAGACGACAAACAAACTAGTCACGGGGTGCAAACGACGGCATTGAGTCAGCCAGCATACACCGATTACGACACATGCTGGTGTTACAGTGACCCCACCGCCCAGCCCACCCCAGCGCATCCTCACCTTGGCGTGATCCCGCGGCGCCGGCCGGCGACCCTCCTCCTCCTCCTGACGCTGCTCGTAGTGTACAAAGTCGTCGAAGATGGAGGTGCGGTGGTTGAACGCGTGGATGATTTTGAGCACCTGGCGGCCCTTGTCGGCCGGCACCTCCTGCGTGTCACGAGAGTTTGTCACCGGCTTATTCTCGTTGTTCTCCAGCCGAATGTGACGCAGCTGAGAGTTCGGCACGTCCTTCACGTAAATCCACTTCACTTTGAACTGTCCCTTCCATTTGTCCTGCGCCCAGACCGAGGACGACGAGCTATAGTCCACGGGCGAGAGCATCTGCGCCATGCCGCAAAAGTGGCCGCTGCCGTTCACCGAGTACAGCAGGTACACTGGGCCCTTGCCGTCGCGCTCGCGGAACGCCGAGTCCAGCCGCTTGTTGCCGTGCTCAGTGCTGGCCCAGATCTCGTACTTGATGGAGCGGTGGATGTCGTCCTCCGAGTACGACTTGATCACGAAGAAGCGAGCCTCTTTGGCACTGAGGTCGAACTCGCGCGGGTTGTACTCGTTGCGGTCACGCAGTTCGTCGAGCACCGGGTGCGCGGGCGGCGGCGGCGGTCCCTGCGGCGGCGGACGGGCGCGCGGCGCCGTCCACGGCGGCCGGGCGGGGGCCGGCGCCGGCACCGGGCCGCCCCTGCCCTCCCACACCCCAATCACATCCCGCGGCGGCGGCGGCCCTCCGTGGCCCACCGGCACGACGCCTGTGCCGTTGCCGGCCGGCGTCGGCGGCTTGCGCTGCAGCGAGCTGGGCCGGGCCGGCTGGCTGGCGATGCTCGCCCACGACTTTTTCTGCGGCGCGCCCGGCGGCGGCTCGGCGCTGCCCGGCTCGTCCTTGGCGTCCATACTGAGTCCCTGCATGCCCTGCTCCACCTGTTTGATGGAGCGCTCCTCGCCGCCGTACGCGGCCGGGTCACCGCGGTAATAGTCATCGTACTTTCTGACGCCGGCGCCGCCCCAGCCGGCCGCGTAGTCCCCGCTGCCGTGGAACGGCCCGTACCCGCCGAATCCCGGCTGGCCGAAGCCGCCGAAGCCCTGTCCGAACATGGCGTCAGCGCCGTAGCTGTCGGGCTGCACGGGCGGCTGACTGTAGCCGCCCATGAAGGCCAGGTGGTCGCCGCCGCTGCTCCAGGCACCGTCACCGACGCCGAACGCCTGGTAGGGCGGGTAGCCGGCGGCGCCGCCGTAGTAGCTCGACAGGTACGGGTCGGCCGAGGCGGGCATGCCGGCGGCGCCGTAGCTGTGCTGCTGCGAGCGCCACACGTCCGGCTGCTCGTCGGGCAGGTCCACAGCCGCTACACCGCCGCCGCTCTCCTTTGAACCATTTCCTGCCGCACAATCACACAGCATTAGTGATCAGCTATGGCAAATGATACACTCTATTTTGGAAAGGAGAAAATTGATGAGCCCACATAATAAAGACTTTGCCGCTTAATAAATCATTAAAAAAATAAGTTGTGTTGCTTGTATATAGGTAGTAGAGTGAACGATGAATACAGTACCTATATGCCAATTCAAACTGCCAGCCAAGGCAGAAGAAGAAAAAAATATGACAAAAGAACAATGTGAAAGTGGGCAAAGTATCTAACAGGCTACATATGATAATAAATCAACTTGCATTCTACAGAAAAGTCATACCTTGTAGCTGGGGATTCTTCCTCTGAAACAGACATCACACCTTGTTAGCATCATTCCAAATTTATTATACAACGCAAATGTCCCACACACTTCAGTCCTAATCTATCAACATGTAAAAAAAGGTAGCAATTATACAACCTTTCCACTTTAATCATTACAAAGGTTATTTGCTAATTACCTAAAACTGATTTCCTGGAATGATGGTTTACAAGGAAAACAGGTCAGAAATGAACAATGACTGCTAGTTTGTATAGCTTTGTTGTGCTAAATAGTAAATGAATCGAAGCTTGGAAATACTTGATAGCTATTCTGCAACTTATTTCATTAAAATTAACTTATTATGAAGCACATGAGATAGAGTGCAACAGGACTATGACAGCAGAAAGAATCAAGGGTTTGATGATATGCTAATATGATGCTTATTATGATCTTATTTATTCATGAAATTTGACTCTTTGACAGCTGACTACCAGACTACTACTGCTAACTGCACCTCTGACCTCCTTTCTGCTAACCACACATACAAAGGCTACCTAGTATGTGGGTATGCACAGGCACTATAGCAGGCAATGACCTGGTAAATAGGATTAGGTACTGATATCATATGTGAGACTCAAGATGCCAAAGCTCATTGATAAGCAATTCTCATCAATTTTGGCAATACTGATTTGGGTAAATAAGGCACTAATTGTTAAATTTAAGTGGTATAAGGTTCAAATTTCCTAAATCTTTGATGCATTTCTGTAAAAGAAACTTAGAAGTATATGTGTATATGAAGTACAGTTGGTAAATTGGTAGGTTGTAGGTTGTATGTTTTAGGTTGGTAGGTTGTAGGTTGGAAAGTTCAATGTTGTATGTCAGAGGGTAAGGTTAGATGAGGTTAGATTATGTTTTTTGTCTTCAACATAGGTACTTCAACTTCACATTTACCATCCTGCACTTCTAACTAAAATGGCACTTCTAACTAAAATGCAAATGCAAATAACAATAAGTGTTTGAGTGTTTAGAATGTTTGGACATTTATTTGGATCACAAAGATAGTCTACACGTGCATATCCTCAACAGCTAGGTAACACATAGGTAATCACTACATTTCCATGACATGTCTAACTCGATAGTCGATTTACCAAAATTTCATGTTTTTCTTGGATACTATTCACCTAATACAAAAAATGAGTGCATGTATAGCTTTAGCTAGCAACTAATCCTATATTTACAATTTTAAATGTCTAAATGGTGTGATAAAACCGTTTTGCAAAATCAGCTTGACATAAGCTGTCAAGTTACTAGTAAATATTGATGCTGTTTTCTAGCGGCGGAACACCCTCAATTAAGGGGGGGCACTGCCGATTTTTGGTCCCATTCTTTCCATGCAACGCCCATAGGGCTAATGTTAAAATGCCAAAATCAAAGGGGGGCACGGTGCCCCGGTGCCCTCCCCATTCCGCCGCCTATGCTGTTTTCCTTTCCAAGCTTCAGTGTTATTCAAATGTGAAAGATAACATACCTGGGCATACCAGGGTTGGCAGGGGGTGGCAAAAACTGGTTTTTGCCAGTGGTTTTAACCGGTTTAAACCGGCTGGCAGAAACCCTGGTGGCAAGAACTGGCAAAAACTGGCTAAAACTCAGATGGCCAAACCTACAACTTTTCTAGTTAGGAATGGATTTGAAATGTACAAATGCATTTCTGGTAGTTATATAGATGCACTAAACATTCTAAAGCTGCCTCATTACTTATCCCTGCTTAAAATGTCTATGCATGTCGGTAGACATCCACAACGGAACGTATTTCCATGTAGGGGAGAGTGGGGCAAGACAGCCACGGTAAGTAAGGTGCCATGCGGTGCCGTGCGCATATCAGTGGCAGATGCCCCTTCGCACTTCTGATTGTGCAGGACTCACCCAGTCACCCTTGCACTGGCTCATTTGTCACCCCAAAAGGCATCTTACTAGAGCTCCTTATGGAAAGCCCATGAAAATGTTTGAGTTATGAAGCATTTCAATGGTCAATGTCACTTCTGTTTGAAAGCATAAAGCTTTCACCGAATTCTCCTTAAAATGCTTCATGTTCAAATTCATGTCCAAGCAAAACATTGTGATATTTCTTAGTTTTTGCCAGTTTTTGCCACTTTTTGCCGGTTAAAACCGGTTTAAACCGGCAAATGGCATAAACTAGTTTTTGCCGGCAAAAATGCCAACCCTGGGGCATACCATGTCATGAAAATTGCCTGATCTTTACTTGTCATTGGAGTAAAATGAAATATAAAGCCTTTATTGTCAACAAGTTTTCATCTCAGCATTTCAACAAACACTCACCTGGTCCTGCACACCGGCTGACATAACCTCAACCGAAACCCCGAAAGGTATATAAAATGGAATGAAATGTCTATAAATATTCAAAAATAATTGAATATTTTCCGGCAAATATCACCCGGCAGTCCTGAAAATTTGATCACCGCATTTGCCGCAAACTGAGGCCGCTACGTGTACACGCGAAGCCTGTTCAATAGCGAAATTCATTCCTGCTGAAGATGCTTGCGCTTTGGAATCCCAAGAAGCTAGCCAATCGGAGTCGTTTCATCAAGCTATCGCATCGATCAGCTGATCTCTTTATGCAATTTTTATGACTAAAGTATTTTTCTTCATATGGGCACTATAAGCCGTGACATCTTATGCGAACGAGAAACGTTCATGGCGCATAGTAAACAGACGGTCAGCCGGTGTTGGAGGCCGATGGGGCTTGGGGAATGGTATTGGCCCTCGGTGCTTCCAACAAAAAGTCGGATTATTGTTGACAGCCAGTCTGACCGGTTTTTCTAGTACTTAGGACGATCTCTCTCAGGACGACGCGTGAAGGGTTGAAAGCCTGTTAGTTGCTCTTCCATCGTTGTACGAAGCCGGCTGCTCTGCTTGAAGTCTGAAGATTCAACTAATCGTTCTCAGTTTGCGGTTGTTGGATATTAAAGATGATTGGGGCACTTTATCTCAACCTCTATAATACTTTCCAGCTTTCTGGGTAAGTGAAATGTTGGAATTATTATAATATTGCAAAAAGTCTAGATGGTATGCACCATTAGATCAAGATGTCTCCTAACTCAACGTGTTCTGTTTCAGTTTCAATTAATTTTTTTCTAGCATTTTTGTGAATAAAACTTACTTTTTGAAATGTAATCATTAGGTAATTCATATGGTGAATTTAATATCTGATTGTAAAATTCACAAATATCTAATTAAAAAAGTAATTTGAATTGTAAAAAGGAGTATTATGATCACAGTGGAAATTGTGATCCAATGCTATTTAACCAAATTAATTAACATTTTCCTACTGTTTTCAGGTGGGCATATTTATGTTTCCTGACCTGGTCACACCTGGGAGAAAAGCAATCCATGGATGGTTTGTGGGAAAGGACTGAGCTGCCATTGAAGATTTTCCAGACTGCAATGGTTATTGAGGCAAGACACATTCTTGTCTTAACTCTTAAGTCAACTGCCTAGTCTCGAGTTTTCAAGCAAGCCTTGTCTTCCAGCTAATAAGTTGATGCTGAAAGGAATTATGAAATAATCATTGGTTCTCAGCATTCACTTTGTTTCTTTGATGAATTAGTTTGTTACCCAAATCTGGGTGCATGTGTGCTTTTAGATATAAACCTCTCACTCTAGAATGTTGATGTACAAATGTGGCTGGTAATGTACAGTCTCTAGTCAGTAAACTGGTTACAAAAATGGGTCTGTTGTTAGTGTGAAGCAGGTGTCCCTCACCCCACATATTGCAGGAACTGTTCACCTTTGACACTGGATTCGCTTCTGCACAGGTTGTGCACTGTCTGGTGGGTCTGGTCCGCTCCAGCCCCGTCACCACGGCCATGCAGATCGTCTCGCGCGTGTTCATCGTTTGGCTCATCCTGGAGCAGGTGCCCGACACACGGACGGCGCCAGGTCAGTAGAGCGCCGCCAGGGAAGAGGCTGGCTGTGCTGCTCTGCCAGCGACTGTACCGCTGTGTCGATAATTGGCGATCTTCTGGGGATAAATCAAGGAAATGGCATGTATGCACTGTTCCCTGTCGGGCACGGCGCTATTATCGTTAACACCAATTCGCGCCTGGCATCCCTCGAGAGAGGTGATATTCGATGAACGGCTGACCCGCACACTATGTCTGCCAGGTCTGCTGCTCTGCCTGACCGCCTGGCCGTTCGCCGAGATGGTCCGCTACCTTTACTACCTGGCCAACGCGCTCGGATGGGTGCCCTACCTCCTCACCTGGGCCAGGTACGCGGCGATGACCTATTCTCGATGAGCGGCGAGTTACGCCGAGACAATGATGAGAAGTCGGGGCTCTTCTCTCCAAGGAGGCTACCTACAGGCTTCTCACACTATACATACACCTGTCTTGCTTTTTGCGATTCAATGGTTGATTAATTATTTATGTTTCGCGTTGTAACAGTTCCTGATGTGTGTTGTGTGCTGCTCGTGACAAAGGTAGCATAGCGAACCCCGCTCAGCCCTGCCTCCGCCGACGTCTGACCACAGGTACAGCTTCTTCCTGGTACTGTACCCGCTGGGTGTGGCCGGCGAGACGCTCAGCTGCTACGCGGCGCTGCCCTACTGCAAGGAGAAGCGGCCGCTCGACGTGAGCATGCCGAACGCCTTCAACTTTACCTTCAACACTTACTACGTGCTGATCGGTATCATGCTGCTCTATATCCCCGGTGAGTGGCCCCGCCGTCTCTACCGTATCACAATTATCCGTTTGAGAAAGACGGAGACAGGCATGGGCAGATTCCCGATATTATTAGACACGGACCCAGTTCGCAGAATTCACCTCGAGCTATATTGGTCCCATTTTCCCACTACATTTCATCAGCCAGTTGCCTGAGTGTTTGCCACTGTTATAAACTGAGTTTGAAACTCCAGTATTGATTTGACGCCGTCAGCTCAGTAACGAGCCATGAATGTTTACTTTACCGGCACAGCCGTGCTCCACCGATGTCAAGCTATACTGATCTCAGCATTAAAATGTTCAAACAAACAATAGCAGACAGTCGCGTTTTGATCTGTTCGAATGAAACCGAGCGTACATTCATTCCTTTTCGAATGACATGAAATGAGGAGCGAATATTTAGGTCTCGCTGGTTAGCTGCCGAATCGCGACACCGCTTGCCCATCAAGCATTTTTAGGTCTCTCCTTAACAACGCTACGCTCTTGACGCTCGCTTCACCATCTCCGGGACAAATGTTCCCCGGCCGTGTGCGCAGCACCTAACGCCACACCGGTTTACGTCCGCAGGTCTGCCCGTCATGTACCAGTACATGCTGAGCCAGCGGCGGAAGGTGCTGGGCGGTGCCAAGACCAAGAGTCAGTAGTGGAGCTCGGAAACGACAACCGTCCCAGCCCGGCGACTTTTTGCGGGGATGGTCTACAGATTGCGTCTGTGGAGCACGGTGCGCCTGACATTCCAGTGGCGTATTTGTGAGCTTGGTCGAGGGTGATGCTCAATGGGTGATTTCAGTGTGTACTGAAATGAAATGAAATGGATTTTGAAAGGATTGAATGGATGGGCAATATACAACCGCGGTGTCAGTGGTGGTGACGTAACATTGGTGTGACTTTAAGGCGATTGCGCTAGCTATCATCTACCATCTACTTACTACAGGGATTAGTCTATTCTAGCTACAAAGCCGGCCACCACCGAGCTACAGCGACTTTCTCGGAACACTACCCGCCGCTCCTCTAAAAAACTAGTCGGTGGTCGGTATGCCGGCTGTATTCTAACAGTATGCTAATGACTTCGCCGGCCTCCGAGGCCACACGCCCCTATCCAACTCTGACTCAGAGCGCGCCAAAATGGCGCCGCGCGCGCACATTGGACTAGCGCGCCGGTATAGCTGTCAAATGTCCTGCTCACTCACTCTCACTGCACAGCTGCCATCCACAGTAGCTGCTCTCATTGCGGTTTGAAGATAAAAGTCCGGCGGCGGGGACCGAGCCGGCGCCGCCGCCTGCCCTGCCGGGTGCTTACTGGCGCCGTCTGCTCCCCTGCCTCACACATACACACACACACACACACACAATTACTCACGCACACAGCCCGCTGGAATGTCTGACTGGACGCAATCGTACTGGGCGGAACGCACGCGCGCGCGGCCGGCCGCGGCGCCCCTGGCGCGCCTCTCGGCCGGCCCGTAAAGCTCTGGGGGCCGCGCGGCGCGGTCGGCTGCCGGCCGGACCCCGTGGTCCACCGGCGGCCGGCCGCCGCCGCGCCGGCCAACATAAATTAGTGCTAGAGAACTGAGTCGGGCGGGCCGGGCCGGTCCGGGCCCGCGGCCGCCGGCCGGCCGGCCCGCCGAGTTATCACGCTGCTGACGAGTCGGCGGCGGCGGCCGCGGTCCGGTCCGGTGACCTCCGCGCGCCGCCGCCGCCGCTCCTACCACTGACATGGAGAGCTGCCGCCCTACTCTACCGACCGCGCGCCGCTGCTACCTCTACCCGCCCGCCGTTTGGCACACAAATCTAACAAGCTCTTCCGCGCGTGTGACTGCAGTCGCCCGGCCAGATGCGCTATTTCCTATTGCTGGAGCCGCCCTCGCTCCGGGCCCGACCTGCCGGCGACGCCGCCAGTGGGGATGTCAGGTCCGCTGAAACACATCACAAAACACGGTCACGGATATTGGAGAAAACGAGGAATGGCTTGCCTGATCGTGAGCTATAAATTAGCAAAATACGATAATAATGCGTCAAATCACTGTTCAGCTCCAACATCGCAGAAACGTGGTATTAACGTCGTCACTAAGGTCAACTTAACTGTTCGAAGAAGTTGACGAAAATTACATTCAGTGATTCACAGGACCAAGTAAGCACTTCTCCGGAGCACCGACGAGAGCTCACCTTTCCCCGATAGCCGGCGCCCGCCCGCGGCCGGTTGGCCGTTTCTCGACCGCTCGGCCCGACTCCTCCGGTGGTCCCAGATCAGCTTGTCAGCGCGCACAAAGATGCCATGTTTCGGCTGACACTGGAAATACTGCACGTCTTTTACGGTACCGTCGTTCTTGCCTGGAAAATGAACCGAGGGATACAATGTAAACACTGTTTTCGTCATAAAGAGCATTACAGTACACGAGGACTTATGAACGATCTGATGTTTTGATGACATTTAAACAACCAGTTTCAATTCATCGGCTTTGCACAATGTCAGACGTGCACAATCTTCACGTTGCGCATAAGCTCTTACCCGAACGTAGAACCTCACAGCTCTAACCAATACACGAATGGCGCTTACCCTGCGGCAGGTCGAGCGCCACGCCGACCCAGCAGCCGGGGGCGAAGCGGACCGGACCGACGAACCGAATGTGACCGGCCAGCGACTGTGGCCGCACCAGCACCGCTTCGCCGGCCGTCACCCACTCGGGTAGGCCGAACTCGGGACCCGCTGTGTGAGGAGAGGGGCGAGAGGTCAGCGGGGGACGGGGGAGAATGCGACAGAGCAGCTCCATTAGCGCAGGTAGGTTGGCACAACTCAAAAAGAATCCTTCCTGCAAATGGATGGACAAATATTGTATGCTCCACGAGCGATGCACAACGATTAACCGCTTAGCTCGGAATCACCGCTGGTGGATACTCACTGCCGGAGACGGCGTCGGGCGTCAGCTCCTGGCTGCCGTGGCCGGGCTCGCCCTCCGGACTGCTGTGACCGTGGTCGCCCTCCTGACTGCCGGGCGTGCTCCACTCGGGAGCGCTCCCCTCCAGTGGCGTCTGACGGCTGCTGTCCGGAGTACCGCGCACCTCCGACTGCCCTCCGGCAGGAGGCTCCTCCAGCTCCGTACGAGAGCCCTCTGACGGTTCCAGCGGTTCCTCACCGACCGGCAGACCGTTCTGAGGCGCCGCCGGCTCCGGCTCCTCCAGTCGAGTCTCCGGCTCTGGATCCTGCTCCGGTTCAGCCTCAGACTCAGGCCCCGGCTCGGGCCCCGGTTCAGGCTCTGGCTTGGGTTCGGCCTCCTCTATCTGCCGCGCCGACTCCGGGTCCGGGTCCGTCTGTCGCACCGTCTCCGGCTCCGGATCCGTCTGTCGCGCCGTCTCCGGCTCCGGCTCCGGGTCCGGGTCGGGCTCGCGGTGCACCTCGGCGCTGCGCTGCCGGAGCGGAGGCGGCGCCGGCAGCCGACCCGCCCCGGCGCCGGGCCGCCGCGCCGGCACTACGCTCGCCTCAGAGTCCGGAGTCTCGTCTATGCTCTGCAGCGACATCGAGTCCTCGCTGCACAGGTTGGAAGAACTCACAGCCTGCGAGCCGTACCCGCTGCGAACGAAAACGACAACCGTCAGAAACATACAACGGAGTCAGCTAAGGAGCGAATGTTATTCATGGTACAGCTTTACACTGTCCTGAATATTGGGGGAACTGTAACTTACCTGGAGGTGACGCTGGGTGAGTTGGTTTTGGCCGGAGCCGGGATCTCCACCAGCGAGTCGAACGTCCGAGAGCTGCGCATCCGACCGGCTAGCCGCGCCCGCGCCGCCATGCCGCCGCGACCCTGGGTGGGGACACACGCACAATCGTAATGTACAAAATCATCACACTTGATTACCTGACAAATTACCGTTGCAATTAGATGGCACGAGTATATTGATGCATTGAAAATCTTTACCAATACCTACTGAAAGTTCAAAACTTTCATACGAAAGCTTTGGTAGTCAATAATGACGGGTTTGGTGAAAAAGGGCCTTTACGGCGAAATATCGGACTGGTTCACCCACTTACCGTGGTCAGCGGCGTGGGTCCGTTGGCGGGCAGGCAGCTGTCGCTCGGCTCCGGCGAACCCTCCCTGTCGTGGTCCTCGTGCAGGGTGGTCATACGGGAGGCCAGCTTCAGGGAACCCGGGCTCGGGGTGGCTGCGGCAAGCGGGTATGGGGTCAAATGGTCTGATGGATATAGGCCACGGAGATGGGTCATACGATCTGGGGGGCTGTGATATGCCACGTAGGGACTACACGGTCTGACGAACCTAGCAATCCCGACACAGATGCCTGTTTTTCACTAACAAAGAATGTTTTACGTCGATGTTTTGTTAGAAATGCATCACAGCGCGGGCCCAGACTGTCGAAATACTACTATAAGCAAAATGTGATTATCGACCGTTCATCATGTGGTAAGGAGCGTGTTAGAAATAGACACTAATAAAATGTGATCAAAAAGACATGATTGATGAGACATCTAACAACCGGGTCAAATGGCAGTTAAACATACAGCATGCCACTACCAAATGCCGACTAGCACATCACAACAAATAACACAAAAAAATGCAATAAGTGCTAACTGCAACGAACGATCGGGCCAGTGAAATGGACAGTATGTAAACAAAGTAATGCAATTCAGAAATAACAAACACTTGTGACGCCGAAACCCGTGCCATGCACAATCAAACAAACAACAAACAGTCCCACCGCAGGGCCATCCAAACACATCTACCCCAACAGCGCTGTGTACCACTGGATCAACGCATCATCACACAGCTGCCGGTACAGGCCCGGGTCGGTAAATTACAAATCATCAGCCAATCACGCGCATACCCCAACGTTCCGGATAAGATGAGTTCCAGAGGGGATGAGGAATACAACGGAGAAGGGTCGGGGAATTAAGTAACGATGGATGCCTCGAAACAGGAATGTGAAAATCAAATGGAACGCATTATCAACGGCATGCCTTGTAATGCCCCACCACTTATTTCAAGCAGAGGGAGCGGCCCTATCACGTACACCATTGAAAGGTGGTAGCAGGTTTCAGTCAGCTAGATTCCAACGCCAAAACATACTCACGAACGGCGCTTGACCTCCGCTGCGACCCCCAACCTTTGGGAACTGCTACTCGTACTGAGTTTACAAAAACGCAAACGAAACAAAATCGCACCACGTTCATAACTGTGCTCAACGAGCGATTAGTTTTTTTTTCTCGATATTGTTAAAATCTAAGTCAACATGAAACTCACAATCATGAATCAGCTGCAAAAAAAATTTCCAGAAGTATTTCAGTCAGGTTACTGAATGTATGACATGTTAGCACTTCAGGAATAGTGGATGGGTGTCAGAAATTCAGTATGCCAAAGTAAGCAAAGGCCGGAAGCGTCATTTCCTTTTCCGTAGACGACATAGCTTTGCAAAAAAAAAACGTGAGAGAAAACAGCGAAGAAAATTTAGAAAAGCGATAAGGAATGTCCATCAATTTTAAGGCAGCTGTTTAAAAAGCGGGTCTCTTAAAGGAGTGACCCCAGAAATGCCACCAGTTATAGCCCAAATGCGAAGAGCTGACGGACCCAGGATGGCATTATCAGGACACGACCCCGCTACCCCGTCACGAGGCATTAGCGTACGTGCACCATGCGCTGGCAGCAGCAGCTGGGGTGGCGGCGGCGGCGGCGGCGACGGCGGCGACTGGGGCCGCTCGCCGCCAGTCTCCTCATGCAGCGCCATCAGCGAGCCGCTGAGGCCGGCCAGCATCGACCTACACTTGGACATGGCGCCCGAGAGTCGCATCCCGGCCGACAGGTTCAGGAAGGTCGGACGGTCTGCCGGTCACACACGGAAAGGGAACTGTCAGATGGGGCAGATAGGGCACAGAGTAAAAAAAAAAAAAAAAAAATACAAATATGAGACTGTTTAAGCTCATACTGACATATATGACAAAAGTCAATTATTCAAAATAATTTATATTAGGACCAAAACGCGTTTCGATTATATCGTCATCAGTTGGTCCTAAAATGGTCCTAAAATGTTTAGGACCAACTGATGACGATATAATCGAAACGCGTTTTGGTCCTAATATAAATTATTTTGAATAATTGACTTTTGCCAAATATGAGACTGAGTTGAAACGATACGGGAGGAGCGGTGAAAATTGCGGAAAGATCTGTGAGACATCATTTAGTGAAGTAAATCCATGGTGTAGTCGAAACAAGACAGAACACCTTACCGCAAATCACCGCCAGATACCTACACTCTACCAGTGAATCACATCGCCTCAGCAACGGAACTGTTGAATTAAAGAAAACATCTATCCTAGCGGTGGGAGCACTCACTGGCCGAGCGGGGTCCCGAGTCGAGCTTGGCTCCTGGTCCCAGTGACATCCGGTGGTGGAGGTGGTGCGGCGAGGGGTCGCCGCCGTCACCTCCCGACTGCAGACCGCCCAGGTCCAGGAAACTCTCCGACCGATTCGCGCCGTCAGAACGCTGGAACTGTGATAGCAGAGACGGGCACCACATGTTAGCCAGAAGGAGAGTACGACGAACGCCAAGCAAACACAAAGGTAAAAAGGCGGACCGACAGTATGATGGAAATATCGCTGAGCTTCCAGGGTAGCATCGCCGAGAATAATGTCAGCGAAACAGAAACATCAGCAAAATAACTACTACACCTGAGCTTATCACTTAGTAGCCAGCACCCGGTAATAATTGTTCTCAACTCACGTAGCTAATGTTGGGCACACTGGCCGTCTTGCGCATGCTGCCGGTGCCGGTCGGGCCGGCACTCTCCTGCACTAGCTCCTTGACGGCCACACTCTGCCGCAGCCGGTCCAGACGCAGGATACTGTCCACCGCCGAGACACCCTGCAGGTACTTCTCTGTGGGAGCACGACACGGGGAGAGTTATATCTGAACAAATACATGACTTTGGGCGGAAAAAGGGGAGACACTAGACTGACTACAGACAGTCAGACATGGAAAGTCTTCGGCCCAACAATCCGCTGAATATACGTCTCTCCGCCGATGTCGCCCCCCCCCCCCCGCCGTAATCAGTGTCCCTACTCACTGCAGCCCACCCACTCACCGATGTAGGTCTCTCCGTCTGGGTCAGCCGCCTCGGTGCCGGAGCCGGCGATCTGCGCCAGCGACTCGCGGTCCTCCAACTCCTCACTAGCCTGAACACACAGACACATAATGTGAGTCGTGTGTCGTGAGTCGCGACAGTCGGTGGGCAATGACCAGCGCCAGCGACTCGCGGTCCTCCAGCTCCTCTGACTAGCCTTAACATAAACACACGGACATGATGTAAGTGGCGAGAGTGGGTCGTGAAAAGTGGCAGACGATGAAGAGAACACAATGCTTCGGCAATTAGATTCCAACACACAAGATCCGAAAATCACCAATCGATCAGTACTCCGGTCAATACCAGACGTACAACGAGCACGACTGAAAAAAAATCTGCTTCACGGACGCTATCAATAAATCCTGTCCACTCCCCCCCCCCCCCCCCGGCCTCTTACCAGCCACAGACACATCCCGCCGCCCTGCTCACCTTGGGTATGTTGGAGACCACCTCATACACGACTCCTGTGGCCTCCACCTGATCTCCCCGCCGCAGGGAGATACTGCGCATCAGCTTGTTGGTGAACGTCGGCTTGTAGATGTTGACGCACAGCCGCTTACGGAGCACAATGTCCATGGGAAGAGGCTGGCAGAGCCGGACACGCGCCAGCACCACGAGATAGACCCGCTCGTTGGCTGAGGAAAGAGTGCGTTAAGGTCAGAGCTAATGTAAGCGTCAGCGTGTCAGAGCCGGGTCCACACAGGCCGCATATGATATAATTATACACGCGCGTTAATGTCGGAACGCCCGGTTGCATGCACCAGTATTGTCTTGCACCCACGATCTGACAACCTGTTCGTTTTACAAAAAATAAATAAATAAATAAACTGATTGTGACAAAAGGAGTCCCGAATCTTGCTACCTTTCCCACTCAGAGTATGTGATCTATTGATATCCACGCTGACCATATTATCCCTTCTTCTCGACTCCCCCTGACAGTCGTGCCCTCTCCCTCCAGTTTTTCATCCTTTCCTTCCCTCCCTCTTCTCCCCTCTCCCCTCTCACCGGGCGTTATTCTGTTGAGGTAGACCGAGTCGTGCACGCTCGAGTCCCACTGGACGACCGCAGACACCTCCGGGCCGTCAGTGGCGCGCACGATCGTCAGCCCGACCATATCCTCTCCGTGCTCCTTGGGAAGGTGCGAGCTGAGACCGGCGCACGTCAGCTCGCCGGGCAGCATACCCGTGCTCATGTCGTCCGCTGCAGGTTAGAAAACGGTCGGGGTCAGAGGGATACCGTTGGACTTTGCAAAAGCAATGAGAGAAGGCTTAGAACAAGCACATTGAAAAAGTGCGACTTGTTGATGGCCAATAATTTAGATACATTCCTATTTCCGATACAGCTTCGTACAAAACGTAGCAACCCGAAATGAAATTACATGCCAGAATGACACGTCCACGCACCAGTATCAAGACCCTCTCCTAAATTCTCAGATAATTCGGAAAGCATTGATTCCAGCCATATCTAGGTTCAAAATCCTCATAAAAATTAGCATTACTAACACAGCAAAACAACATACCGGCGCCATGCCACCTCATCGTCCCCCCTCTCCAATCGTCTCCGTACCGTTGAGGTCGAGGAAGAGGACAGGCACATGCCGCTCGAGGCCGGGCCGCTGCGGCACGTCGGCCGACAGCGGCGAGCCGGGGATGCCCGAGCCGGCCGCCGGTACCAGCACCGCGTTACGCTCCTCGTTCAGCTGAATCCACTGGTCCAGCAGCGACTTCTCGCGGTCGTTATCCGACTCGGATTTGTCTGAAACACGGGATCAGTTAGAGGTTAAGCTGATGCGCCTGATTTATCGGGGCAGATGATTGTGAGATCTAATGCCAAATGGTAGGAAAATATGATGTTATTACCGAGAAAGTACGAGTAGCCGGACTATGTTAATAAAGAAGTTTCAAGTCAGGGTACCGGGAGCTTCGCCATACATTCCGTCGCTCCAACGCATGCACGCGTCGCTCCATCTTTACTCTGACCTTGTTTTTTGATGATTTTCTGCAGGTGCGAGTCGAGGTACTGTCGGCGTCTGACCAGCGCGCTGGACCACTTCTCCCGCAGCTGGTTCAGGTCCGCCTCCTGGTACGAGTCCAGCGGCTTCTGCAGACGGTACCTGTAGGAAATATGGACAGTCAGAACACGTCAGCGGCGTATCAACAGCCAACACACTCTATTCTGGAGGATTTGTTAGACCGCTGCGAGTATAAGCGAGAAAGGATACTAGCACAACGCTTACGTCCAAGTCGCACTATCAACGATGACAAGCAAATATGGATGGGTGTTCCTATGCATCTTCTGATTACTTTAACCCGGCAGGCGGTGGGCCTACCAGCCACCTTCCGCGCGGTGGGGGGGGGCATTTTTTTGCCCCCCCCCCGTATCTTCGAAACTACTGGACGGATCCGGAAAATTCAAACGGCGTTCGATAGCCCTGTCAAATTTGTCGAAGGAAACCAAATTTCATTGACCTCGGGGTCACCGATGACGTCACAGGTCAGGTCAAAGATAAAATGTTTCACCGTTCACGGGGCTTCTACGGAAAGCGCTATAACACCGAGTAAAACGCATTTTGTCGAAAATCAGCGATAAGGCGTCAGTTGTCTAGTACATATGTTGCTATTAGAGGTCACTGGTCATACCAGATCAGGTCACAGGTCAGGTCACCAAAGGTCACCAAGAGTCACCAGATGAGCCCAACTTTACTAAGGTTATGCGATGCATGTTTTATGGCCAGTTTTTCATTTCCAACTCAATGGTGTTGGTTATAAGACCATCAGGTACGGTTTAGGTCACTTTCTGGTGGAGGTCAGGTCAAGGTCAGGTCAAAAAGGTCAAATTTCAAAGTTGATATGTTTGCATAAAATGGGTATCGATTCGATGCAGCTCGTCACGGGGAGTCTAATGGTGGTCTTTGTTTTGCGCTACGAGGTCTAGAATTGCTAAAAATTGAGTTTGAAAATTTGACGTCATCAATTTTGAACAGTTTTTTTCGCTATAACTTGGGCAAAAAAAAGAGGTATCGATCTCAAATTTGGTATGTAGATAGAAAGCGGTAGGGACTATCACTTATATTCCGTTTTTTCGAAATTCAAAAAACTTTTTGGATTTTTTGGCTATTATATTCAAAAAATCTATTTTTTATTTTTGGGGGTCAAAATAAAAAAAAATCGAAAACCGAAATAGCAATTTTGTAGCCCTTTTGATTCCACACCTTTTGTGTCTGAAACATTTTTCTGTATCTCTAAAGCTGTAGGCCTGACAGCTCTTCCCGCGAAACCTTTTTTGGGGTCGAAAATGGCAAAAATGACGTCACTCTGACGTCATAAGCGGCCAACCTATCACAGCCTTTGGAAAAAATTTTGGTCATCATGTGCGCTAGCTGCTCCCGGGAGGGTACTGAAAGTTTGGTGACGATCGGCGCAGCGGTTCTCGAGATATATTGAAAAAAAAAAACTAAAGGGGGGGGGGGCAAAAAAATGCCCCCCACCGCCTGGAAGGTTAACCCGCGCCCCGCTGGGGGGGCAGAATCTGCCCCCCCCTCCCGTTTTTCGCCAATAACTTCTAAACGCGTTACGTCAGCGACGTCAAACTTTCAGTACCTTATCATACATCAATTTGACACGTTCCCTGAAAATTTGAGCGAAATCCGTCGGAAAATTTTTGAGAAATTGACGTTTTAGTGACGTCATGTTCGCCATTTTCGCCTCAAAAACGGCAAAATTTCAAACGCCGCTAACATCTTCATTTTTAAAGGAATCAAGACGTAACAAAAAAGGTTATACGTGATTCTACTTTGTTTACCAAATGGCTATCTCGGTTTTTTGAATTTTTTTTTTATTTTGGCCAAAATTTTTCAAAAAAACTGACTTTTTTGGGAAAATATTTATAAAATCCAAAATTTTGAGTTTATCGAAAAAACCGGAATATATGTCAAAGAAGTGGTCTATGTGCACCTACATACCAATTTTTAGAAGAATCGGTTTACAAATGTGGGAGTTATTCAAAATTTTATGACGTCACGACATACAAAAGTTTTGAAAAATGATTTTTTGGAAGTTCTAGACCTCGTTCGGAACCAAAAATAGCACCATTCGATTCGCCGTGAAAAACTGCATCGGATAGACACCTTTTTAGGCCTTAACAACCAACTTCAAAATTTGACCTCACTTGACCTGACCTTGACCTGACCTCGACCTGAAATTCATCCAGAGGTGGTCCATATCACTTATTGAGTGTGCCTATTGAATTCCATGAGCAAAATGACCAATAAAACATGTGTCGCACATGCCCTTTTCTATATTTTGTTTTTGGTGACCTGACCTGACCTGACCTTGACCTTGACCTTTGAATGACATTGTGTGCAACGAATATTGTCTTGGTAGTCTAAGAACACGTTTTGGGCAATCAGTCTCAGTCCATTCTTCGGCAACTACGGTGCAAGGCCGATACTGTAGAAACTTGCATTGTGTACCCTTGACCTGACCTTGACCTGACCTCTGACCTACTTAAGCAAAAAAATTTGGGCTCTTAAGATCCGCCTTGTTGAGAGCTTTCGATTGCCGTTTTCACCGTCTTTCTACGACCATCGGTTCGGAAGTTAGACGGGGGGGGGCAGAATCTGCCCCCCCCCCCAGCAGGGCGCGTATGGCTGAATAGCCCAGCGGGGCGCGGGTTAAGGTATTCTATCTAGTCACAGTGCCCTTGAGATACCACAATCGTAAATCACAATGATATCCACCCATTACCAGTATCCACCTCCTTTTTACCAAGAAGACCGACCTGCAGGTGACGCTGCCGATGTTGACAGCGGTGACGGCGTCACAGACCAGCGGCAACGTGCCCGAGTTGGTCACCGGCTGGACGCGCACGGCCAGCCGGCGCTGCTGGCCCTGGCGCAGCTGGTACACGCCGCCGGAGGCCACGTCCGCGCGAGTCGCCACCTCCACTGGTTGGTAGTCGCCTGCGAGGGGGGGGGGGGGTGAATAAGAGGTCTCAGGTCATAGAGAGTCTGACAGACTTAAAAGAATACTATTTCAAAAAGCTTGCTTTGTTGAGCAGCTGTACAACTCCCTGAAAAGTTAACATTTGCATCGATTAACTTGATTTTATACAACCCACGTCTCTCTAGAAACGAGTTGAAAGAGCAACAAAACTTATTGTTTATACTACAAAAACAAGCATTATTTGTAGAATGGATATAGCAGCACCCAGTGAGCCGACGTCTGATTCTCCGTCAGCTCACCATGGTCGTTGAGCTCCTGAATTTCGACCCAGAGTTCGAGTTTCCTGGTGAGCTCCGCCCACCGGTCGGCCAGTGAGCGCGCCTTGGCCAGCTGGCTGTCCACCACGTCCAGAGTGGTGGGGATTGACGAGGTGAACCCGGCCGATCGGTGGCCCCACACCTCCACCGACAGCGCGCCCTCTATGGAGACGATAAAGCGCAGGTCAGTTCACGATTCGGCACACATCAGTTCTACCATTAGGGCGCACTCGGCGAGCATGGCACGGTTTAGGGCACTTCAAGACTTAGCTTTTACAGTTCTTTAACACAAATAATAGATAGTTTTACCCCGTAACATTAGAGGCAAATGACATAACGTGGATTACTTAGAGATAGCGACGGTTTCCTTTCGGTGCAAGCGTATTTAGACACCGTGTCATTATTTACGAAAACGGAGACTCGTCAGTCTGCTTAAGCCCGAAAGTTGTCCTTCTCTTGTCCCACAGCGCGCCGGTGGGACGCGGCAGGCCGCTCCTACCACCCACCTGCGCAGTGTTCGATGAACTCCTCGCAGATGGGTATGACAAAGTCTCGGCAGTGGTCGAACTGGACGATCACCCGGTCACCGGACACTGTGGTCCACTGGGTGGACCGCTCCTGGGTGATGATTGGCGGACACACCTGGTGACGTCATAGAGCCGTCAGCTGAGCTGGGACTTGGTGGGAGAAATTACACCGGAAAGAAATATATTTCAACTCAGTACAGCTCACGCAACTTACATTGGCATATTCATATAACACTGGCCACACACGAGTCTTAAAACAATTTTTAAAAACAATTTTAAAAAATTTATTGTGATTTGTAACGACACAAACATTATGGTAATGAGCTGTTTAAGAAGCATTATTATGCAATAAGTATAGACGGATGGTGTTGAACAAACGCAGGTAAGTCGAAGAGTGATGATGTTTTCACCTTATAATGTGTATCGACGTTTCCCGGACATCACTTTGGGGACTCTGGACACGGACAGAGGAGGAAGGCTGAGGCTGGAATGATGAAATAATGGATGATCACAGGAGACGTCAGAGGAATGCCATTAGGATAACACAACAGAGCGCATCATTTGGGTCAATACTAATGCGTGATCGTGGCCTTTGGATGTGGCAGGCCATTAGCGAACGAAATGCATCACACATTCGAATGCGAAATGTATCACGCAAACATCGAGCGAACGAAAACATTGGGGCAGTTCTAAGTCAACAGTTCTAACAGCTCGTCGAAGGTACTAAATATGCGGTCAAATACGCATGACAGATGCTGTAAGTAAACCGATGCAGACGGTATAGAGCCGACTACCTTTCCAAAAGACCACCAGCGATGGCTGTGTCCACAGAGCCGCTGACTGATTCGGAGCTCACCTGGGTCTGCGAGCAGCCCCAGAAGTTGTACTGGCAGAACACAAAGTGTGACAGAGAGGGAGGCAGACCGGTGGCCTGTTTGATGGTGACCTGCGGCGACGGAAGAAACGCCCGGTCAGGGGAGATCGCACATCCGTATAGCAAGCTCATATCGCGGACCGTCAGAACGATTATCAGAGCCGATCTGGCTAAACAAATACACAAGTACCTACTGAAATGCATCGATATATGACACGAAATTAAAAGAGGTAAGCCATAATGCAACCGGCAGTTTTGGCGGGCCCCCGTCTGGCGGCGGTCAACCCTCTGACCGGCGACACTGACTGACCCGACAGGTGACGGTGTTTTGAAGCAGGTCCTCCTCGCTCCGTCCGCTGTCCCCAGAGTGGTTGGACGTCGAGTCGGCGATCCGGTCCTGGAAACAGCCGGCCACCCGCTCCAGCTCCACCTGAGGGTGCGGAGAGACGGTCAGTCGGTCAAGGACACGGAGGGGGGGGGGGGGGGGGGGGTGGGCGGTGGGAACTGGCTCATCGCGAACTCATATGTGGATTATCAAGCGGCGATGATGTTTTGGGTTCAATGCGTCCACCTTGCAGAGCGAAGAGCTTCTCGTGTACCGAAATGACCTCCGAATGATGCGGAGGTCACCTTACTCCCACACAGTCTGCCGGCCACCTCGCCTTACTGGCTAACTATCAGGCAGAATAGAGGCGCGCAGATGGAGGAGAATACTCACGTGCAGTCTGCCGGCCACCTCGCCCTGCTGGCTGATGATGGGCACTTGGTAGTTGAGGCAGACGTCGTGCAGTATGGCCTCCAGGAACAGACTGGCCACGCCGATCAGGTGGTGGTTCTCCTGGGTCTCGAAAAACGGGTCTCCCGCCGAATCCTGGCGCACATGACCGAAGCGGTTGGTGAGGGGTGAGGAAGGGCGTCATAAGGCACTAACACTTCGACAAAATGACCCGAGAAGCTGATCGGCCTTGTAAATAAGAGACAACTGCCTAGAACGCTGAGCATGAATTATTTCACGCCTGCTTTTCGGTGAGCAATCATGTTTCCCTGATCAAAAGTACCGAATCGTAAAACCAATATTATACACGATCCCGTCTCTGATCATTCGTCACCGACGTTGGACGACCTGGATCGGTCCTGACCTGCATCATGTTTCCGCTCTGTATTTCGTTGTAGAGCTCGCGCATGTCAACCAGCTTGTTGTCGAGCTTCTCCAGGCTCCAGATCTGGTTCGGGTAGCCGCGCCGCTTCACACAGATAGCCGGCTCGCACACAAACAGACCTCTCTGAGGGACGGGAGAGATGTTCATACGCACATCAGACAACAGCAGGCAGGCTTTAAAGACGGCTACATGGAGGCTCAGTGAACGGTCGAAATATCTCATAAATCCTGCACAGTCCAATACAAAAAGGCGTATGCTCAAAAGAGTTGCTTACTGAGAAAACTGAACTGAGGTATCTGACAAGTCTTAAAGTCAAATACATGAATTTCACTATAAAAAAGAACAGTCGGATTATTACGGAGCCGTACCCGTCTGTTGGGTCCGAGGTTCTCGGGCGGGATCTGCAGTGTGACTGAGTAGCTGGTGCTGCGGCGCAGCTCCTGCGCCATGGAGCTGGCCTCGCGCGCCAGAGAGTTGGCGCGCACAATCTCCTGCCGCAGCGTGGCCACCGAGCGACGGAACTGCTCCTCCCTGAAGGCGAAAAGGGTAGCGGATGGGAGGAGTCAGATGGCGGCGGTACCCGGCGCCTCCCTGACGGCGGGACGGCGGGACGGAGGTAGGGGTCAGATGGGGTCAGATGGCGACGGAACTGCTCCTCCCTGACGGCGGTATAGACAAACAAGGAGGGGTTAGATTATGGTGGACAACTGGGGAGCGGAGTTACGTTATGCGTATCATGTTTCAACCTCATGGCGCAAAATAACTGGATATTGCGATAGATCATACATGTTTAGAGCGGCGTTGGGTCATTGATTAAGGAAAGGCGATTTTCCTTCCCTTGACTGGCACATCCCTGCCTCACGTAACTGACCTGTCTCTGGCCCACTGTTCCAGCCGCGACTGGGCCAGCGGGCTGTACAGAGACGGCCCGCGCCGACTGCCGTCCAGGCCCAGCGGACCGGGCGCCGAGGGCGACATGGCGCTGCGCAGCTGCTCGAACTGACGCTCATACTCGAGCTTCTGCTGCTCCAGCGCCACTGCCGAGGGTCACCCACACTCGGTCAGTGGAAACACTCGGCAACGAGCTATGGACAATTTTACGACCAGTCTGACGAATCAATTTGAAGTAATAATTAGTTTATCATATCAAATAACATAGTTGACGAGCTGATCATCTACTTCTGATCATTATGTTCGTTTACTCATCTGACACGGTTGGCTTCGACGGCACGCCGTCAATGCAACTTAGCACCAGCGTTTTGTGACTACAGCTCACTGAGTTACTCTCGAGCTCGTTGTCCACGTCTTCCTCGTCGCTCACTCTGTTTTTGACCCCGTGGTCTGTCCCGTGTCCCCCCGACCACTCACTCTGTTTGTCCTGCTGGTGGTGGTGCTCCAGACGCTCGATGGCCGTCTGGATCGGGTTATCCCCCAGCTCCTTCATCACCAGCTCCTCCCGAGCAAAGTCGTAATCAAAGTTCTGCGCCGGCGTCTGCGGCTCCGGCGCACCTCCACTCCCTGTACAGACACGGAGGCACGAGTCATTAACGCGTCAAACCATAGATGAAAATACGTAAATCGGTTCACTCCTAGGGAACTACAGCGTTATTCCCCCACGGGAGAACGCGTCACGAGGTCTTCAATATTGCGCATTAGTATTCATGCACGCATTTCCACCCACGATATCGAAAGTAAACAAGGGCCGCTACTTCAGCCCTGCCTCTCCCGCCCTATCCCCATATGCTGTCCCTGCCGTGCCACACCCACTCACCGCCGGTTCTGGGGCAGTTGACGCGGAAGAAGTGGTTGTTTCCCCAGAGCAGTCGGTCGCCGTGTCGCAGCTGGGTGCGCTCCGTCACCTGCGAGCCGTTAACGCAGCAGCGCGCGCCATCCACCGGTACCATGTGCAGCGCGCCGTCCTCAATGATGAGTCGACAGTGCTCCGGCTGGATGCCCAGCCCCGACAGTTGGATGTCGGTGCGGCCCGGCGCGTCCGGCAGGCCGACCACCGTGTGGTCCTGTAGGCGGGGCGGAGAGGGGTCACAGCGTATACAGGGATACTCAGGACGGGGTGTCCGCAGTCTGCACTCCGTGACATGGGAACGCACGGCCGCGGGAGTCCCGGCAAAGCTGGGTAATGCCAAGGGGCGCAGCGAATGGTCTGGCAGCCATAGTGAATTCGGATGAATCACAAATACAATAACGATTATGAAACGTAACACCTTTTTTCACAAGCAACACAAACGCTAATAGGCCCGCCCCATCCGGCATTCCTCATTGTCACAGGTCCATCAATATTTAATTAGCAGAACAATCCGAATTACAGTGAAATAGGAATCTCTTAGCCAAATTAACCACTCACCTTTAAATAATAAACTAGCATCTCGTTGAGCGAAGGGTCAGCATTAAGGTTAACCAGATAGAATTTGTTTTTCTGCACAGAGATTCCGACCGACTGCACGCTGATTCCCATTTTCTCCAGCGCCTGTTTTCGTTCCTGTTGTACACGTCCTGAAACACGATCCACCGCCACGTCAATACAATATCACATTACAGAGGCACGAGTGAAGAATAGAGATATGACAGAGCGAGTCGATAGATATATGTGCTGGGTTATGGCCACAAGTCAGTCGAGCGTCGAACTGGGAGAGGTGACGTAAAACATAAGTGGGAATTGTCACGACCAAAGTTAGCCCATAAAGTTAACGGAGAGCGAGAGTCAATAGTTCCTTCAATTATCACAACTCATACATGGCTCCAGTTATCACGCTTTAAACAAGAGAATCTACGCCAAGGGGACGATGTACCAAAATAGCTGATAGTGATGGCATGGCCATTGGCTATGCATCAGCTTAAGGGCGGTTTAACAAGCGATGGTATTTATTTTGTCAAACGAGTTTCTCGGTCATTTTACCTGTCTTTTGTAGCTTCTCCTCCCATGTTTCCGACATTTGTCGCATGATCTTTTCGTTTTCGCTCAGCTTTTCCCGCAGCGCGTCGTCACCGGTCTCCTCAAAGTCCTCGATCATCTCGCCACCCGATTTCAACCGCTGAAACATAAACAACAAATTATCATAATATTGAACAACAAAGACGTCTAGACTTTCTTCCATTTTTTACACTTTTTCGATTCGCCAACTATTTTCCGATGCCGTGAAATATTAAGAAAGAAAAACACGTCTATTTATTGAAAGTTCAGCTACACAGAGCATCACACGCAGCATCACATGCAACAAAACCGGTCAGCACCGCCACCCACCGAGAGCTGGTCGCGCAGGCGCTCCACCTCGTCCCGTAGCTCGCGAATGATGCGCGCGTTCGGGTCCTCGTTGACCACCGCGTGGTTCACGATCCGCTTCGCTCGGTCGGCGTATCTGTCCGAATGGAGAGAGGAAATTCAGTGACTCAGAAACTTTACCAGCTTCTGATATCAAAATCCGTTTTGTTAGCTACCTGAGTTATTTCTCACTAGATGTCACTACGGGTTCGCGCCTGAAGGGTAGGCTGTCCCGCGGAGCACGATGTTTCGCGACTCTGCCGACAGATGTCAGTTTACGGCACTGGGTGTACCATAGCGACCGGCGAGTACTGTTCGGTGTCCAAAATTAAACGAATACGTAGCATGAACAAAACAGAACTGTCTGTTCCTCCGATGCGGCTAAGCAAAAATGCGTGCCATCAGAGAAACACAGACACGTCAATAAAGACAAAGCATAACTAACTAAATAAATAAATAGAACGCACCAAGCCTGAACAGACCAAGTGGCAGCCCGCAGACTCACCGGAGTGTGGAGAGCGTCTCCTCGTAGTTGTCGCTGGCGGGGGAGATGGTGGCCACCATCACCGTCTTACTGTTCCCTCCTAGATTGTCCTGTGACCGATACAGTAAAAACGTCACCCGAAAACATTCAACATCCGAGACGGGTAGAGCATTCGCCGAAGGAATCCTACCCACGACACCGGAGCCATATTGCATATTCCCAAACGATTCCACGTCCGCTACAAACGTACGCCAAGGCCCAATATTGGCATCGCAGCCGAGATAGCTTTTGTAATGCGAGTCCTGTGTAATATTGCTAATAAAATAGAAGCCGAAAGCCGCACAGCTTCCAAAGAATCCTGGTTAGATATAAGGATATAAGACCAAGCCAGCGTCCCTGATTCGGGGGATGACAATGGCCTCGCCGTATCTCAGGATGGCTCTAGAGCCTGGTAGGTGTTTGACAGGATAAAGGAAGCTTCCCAAAATATACAGTTCCAGCCGCAATAAGCAGATAATTTAAAAGCTTTCTACAGACCGGCGCACAACTCGTTTCAGTTTGTCACTCGTTTCTGTATACAAACCTTGAGCAGCCAGGTCAAAACGGAATCCCGGTAGGGGACAAAGTTGTCCGCCTTGGAGCGAGCTTTGCCAGCCGAGGCGTCTGCCAGTTTAGAAATGACCAGACCCAGAGTAGTCAGCGACCTGGAAACGCGGCGTCTTTGATGTCACACAGCTTCACGGTAAGTTTAATTCAACAGCGCACTTCACTTGGTGATCTAACAGGTCCAGCCGTAATAAATCCTGCAACTGCGGATATGACGATAACAGTGGTTGAATTATATCGCACTGATTCCGCATCTGCCATCCAATATTTGTCGACTGCTATCGGCGGATGGTATCTCCCCGGTATGCCAACACCTCTGGCGTCATTCGTGCGCGAAAGCCGGCTGCGGTAGCCGGCGGGGAGCTGTAATTAGATCGAGCGCGCCCTGGCCCGCTCCGGGCGACAGGGCAGCGCCGGGGCGACAGCGAGTCGGAGCCGCGGCTCGGCGACTCAGTACGATCACCGGAGCGGGTAAACGGACTGTCTGACGACAGGAAAACATACCGCTGTAGCGGCGTAATGCGTCTCTAGTCTATCCTAGTCCAGTTCACAATAACCCAGTCTAGTCCCCTCCGCCCCCATCCCGCGGCAGTACTCACTTGTTGATGTTGCTGCCCTCCTTGAGTCGGTCGCCGGCAGCACCCGTTTTCACCGCCCTCTCGGAGCCGGCCAGATCGACCAGCGAGATGCGGCTTACCTTCTCACCAGTAACGCCCGACTGCAGGTCGGTCAGCGTCTGCAACAGACAAAAATGAACCTCATATATCCGATGGGAGGCCATTCAACACCTTAGCAATGCGCGCGTAAGCTTAGTTCCCAATTATTAGGCACAAAGGGTCTCACACAGCACATAGCGGACGGAATGGAGCGAGAGCCCACATCTGAAAGTGGTGTTTCTGGGTGTTATAGTAACCGGATATAAAATCGGATCAAATTGGATTTGACTGGGGCGTATGTCCTCTTTTGGAGAGCTTGCGACTAACTATATGACAAAACGCGAGCGACGAATGGCATGTAATGATTCGTGCATATTGTATCGGCAGTATTTAGTTCATTTCTTTCCCAGGTCAATATGGGGCAGTCCAGGGTCATCTAAGGTCCAACTTATCCACGATACCCTGAGGAAGAGCTTAGTACCCACACCCGCAAATGGCTTTTTGGTCATTAAACTTACGTAGTATTGAACGACCGCACGTGTGACGTGAGACTTCAATTGGCATCCAACTGCACCTGTCATAACCCATCGAACCAGTTCCTAACGGAGTAGAAACTACAAGCGCAATAGGTCCAGCCGCTTATAAGTATATACAGTAGAATCCGCGTAATAAATCCACGGATAATAAACAGCCGCTTACTGTGGCCGCTTGAGCTGTTCACGGATTTTCCCCATAGATACCTATAGACCTATAGTTAACAAATCCGCAATAAAGCCACATACTCCGCAAGTCACTTGGGAGTTCCGAAGACCGCAGTAACGTCTCCCCATTCGAAATGTGGCATCAAACCCGTTGCTAAAGAACCGCGCTGGAGCAGCGGTCTGCAGCAGTTAAAGAGTTCTAAAAACAGAAGGAGTTCAGAGCTATCAAGAGCGCAATTAGATACTATGCACTTCAGATAAATGTTTCCACAAAGCAGGCACGCTCGGCTGCTTCGTTGGCATAGCAGGCATGACGGGGAGTGATCGTGGATGGATACGTTGACTTAATCGCTGCGACAGCTTTGCAGTGTGCGCTGGTCACTTTCAGGGGGACAGGCCCCCGCACTACGGTATCTACGGTCGCAGGTTCGGGGGCATGTCCAACCCTAAAACCTACCTTTATACATAAGCTGCATTACGAAAGTCAAATTATTTGGGGTCCGGACCCCCGGGACCCCACCAATGGCAGAGCCCGTGGTCACTTTCACTGTAATAAGCAAGGCAATGAGAAATGTTTGCCTGCACGCCTGTGATGCGGGGGAACGGAGCGTGCAGCTGCGAATTTAGAGGTGGCAAAATGTGGACATGAGGACCCGGTCCAAGTACCAGTCTGGACCCATATGGGTCCAGACCGGTTCCTGGAAATTTTCTGACGGGTCCAACCGGGTCCTTCCATAAACCATACATCTTGCACACTACACAATACACATGATTGCAAAATATGAAGCGAATGCAAAGAAAACATTTCCCCATGTACATATGTTTCTTTGCGCACTGTAGCTCGTGAGTATTCCCAGTGGGAAAAAGGCTGTTTTACATGATGCAACTAATGATACCTACACACAGTTTGTATTAATTGATTTTTGGGGAACGGGTCCAACTGGTTCCGATTCCAACTTAGACCGGGTCCGACTGGTTCCAGAAATGTCCAGTCGGGTCTGGGTCGAGTCTGGTTCCAAAAATGTTCACATTTTGCCACCTCCAGCTGCGATACATGCTTTTTAACGAAAATAACTGACTCCGGTTAATAAACCACCACTTAATAAATCCAAAACACCTTGTCACTAAACTGGATTTATTAAGCGATTCCACTGTATAAGCAGGCCGCGTACGTGCTCACGTGCAGTAGCACCATAATCTTGACACTAGAAAATAGTTACACCAGCCGCTGGGCGCTCAACGGTAGGCAAGGGTAGGCCAATACGGATTAATCGAGGTGTAATATTATGTTATTACCTTTGGGGTCAGGTCACGACCTTGAAGTACTGTCAGATTTTCATGTTAACTTTTAAAGTTAAGCTACAATATATTGTATTTCAGTTGAGACAAGTATAATAACTCGGAACAAAAATGATAGACGAACGCGTTCCGGCTAAATCGCCGTCATCAGCGTCTAGAAGTTCTCCTTTTAGACGCTCATGACGGCGATTTAGCCGAAACGCGTTAGTTCTATCCTTTTTGTTCCGTGTTACTACAATATATATTCAACCATAGATAACATGAACTTGTTATCTATGATTCAACGCATATGTACGAGAGAAACACGCTGCTGTATAATGTATACGCTTGGTGTGATATGTAATCGGATATTTTGTTTAGGCAAGTCAATTTTGACTGTTACTGCCAATTTTGACTGTTACTGTCAAATCATCGGTGTCCATTGTCCATAATTGCTCAATGTCAGGTCACCTATCAAAACACAATCGTTGCAGTCACGTTACAAACTCACAGTGCCCTCAAGAGTGGAGGACGAACTAAACGTTCGCTCGGTTACGGGCGGAAGTGGCAGAGCCTACAGCCGCTGGTCGATGGCCGAGTAAAACAACAAGTATCCGGCCGAGCTTCGCACGCTCCCCCCGCTCAGTTCGTGCACCTGATGGTCGTCGTACCTGTGCCCTCTGTCCGTGTTGGGTGCGCGGCAGAAGGCTGTGTAGTGGCCACTGTCCATGGAACCGAAATGGTTCACCACACCGTACAGGTGGTACCTGTGGTGCTGATGGTGTGCATCCTTGGTAGCCAAATGCGGTGACATGTCCAGGTTTTTTAGCGGAAACAGGACGCTGGACCGATTCTTCTTCCACGCGCCGTCGTTGTAGAAGCGCTGTATGTGGATGATCAAATCATTGACTCTTGGTCAAATGTGCCTACAAACTGCTGAAGAGTTTTATAAGGGCTCTCAAATGCTCTTTTCAACGACAATGTAAACACGAGATGCTCACCAAGCTGTCAAAAAAAAAAAAAAAATGTTGAAACCGGCAAATTTTGCATATGATTACCTTCGTGTTATGATGATCTGAGGAGGTCTCAATGATCCGAAAGTGCTCGTTGCGAGTTATTAATCGCATTTGCGCGTCTTTCTCCCTCTCAAATTTTCGAGATAGCCTGGCGAGCCGAAATACGCTTCCCCTCTCCTCCTCCTCCTCCTCTACCACGAAAAAGCTGGCTGAGACCCCATCCCGAGAGATCATTAAATGAATGACTTATTATTTGGAAACATTATTCCGTTTCTGATTAAAGATGAGAGTGGCTAAAGTTGATACCCTAAATAGTGAATAAAGTACCAGCTGTACAGCGTACATTATTTTCGAAACACCATATCAACTATAAGCATGTATATTATCTTCACGTCATAATTTACTAAAAGCATAGTCAACTCGGCACATCCACTCCCGGTCCATTGCCATAGTCATCAAACACATTAATCAAAAACTCGCACATGTTCAGCCTAGATAAATACCTAAATTGTCCAAAATCGATGATTCGTTAAAGCCAGAGACGCTGCTCCATGCTATATGTGTGCTGGAGGAGTTGAAGGTATAGGTGCTGTCGGAAAGCGATGTGTCATGGCTGTGCGAGGTCATACAAAGTCCGGGCAGACTGTCAGTGCACGCGCGGCTCTGCACCAGCATCGGCCCGTCCGAGAGGTTCAGGTCGACCTGATGGCAGCTGCCGTCATCCGAGCTCAGCCAGACAGGGGTCCTGGGCAGGTGGCCGTCCGTCACCAGACGTGACACGTCCGTTTGGAACAGTGGGCTCATTACGATCATCCTATTCATAAGGTGGCTGCCCGCCAGATGGCTGCAGAGCGTCTCCATCTCCTGCGCCGAGCCGGTGCTGCGCGTCACCATCAGGCAGCCGGAGCTGGTGGACGCGAACGCGCCCTGGTCGGTGCTCGGACAGCCCGAGGACCACGAGGTCGACACGTGAGAAGAGGCGTGACACTCCTCCAGCTCTTCAGTGATGTCAAACAGCTGCAGCTCCTGTTTGCTCTTCAGCTCGCGGCAGAGAGTCAGCTGCTCGCGGGTGTGAGCATGCTCGTGGTTGGAACTCGTCAGGCGAGCTTGCAATGTGCTCGCATCACTGCGTAGGTTACGAGCTAAGGCTTCCAAATTACTCACTCGGCGGGCGTAGATGCTGACTTGCATGCGACATGTCTGGTAAGATTTCTTTGTGGAGTTATGTTCCGCCTCCATCCTCCTTAGCTCCATTTGATAACGTTCGTTAGACAAAAGCGTATCATTGAGAGATTCAGTTGTACGCTTGTGGCTGATCTGACAATCCATGAGTAATGCTTGAATTCGCTCAATATCTCTCAGACTATTGGTTTGAACTTGAGTGATTCTTCTATTGCACTCCAACAGTTGCATTTCCAGGGACAGCGACTCCGTAAGAGACTCCGAGTGGTTGCTCTGACAGTGCTTGAGCTGCCGTTCCAGCGATTCTACCTGAATAACAACTCCATGGTGTTGGCTCTGGGCCACCTCCAATGAGCTCTGCACGCTCATTAAATGACGCTCCTGCTCGGCATTAATGTCGTGCTGCTCGTGCAGTGACGCCCGCGTTTCATTCAGCTGCTGTGAGCAATGATTCAAGTGTTGATGTAACGCACTTGCAGAACTTGCAATGTCGGAAAGCCTGCTCTCCAAAGTCGTCACTTGAGAAGTATAGCTGCTAATTCTGCTCGAACAAGTTTCATACCTACTCTTTTCCGCGTCTGCAGTAGCCTCCAAGTTTGCAATTTGCTTATTAAGGTCAGTACTTTCTTGCCTTACGACTGAAAACTCTGCCCGCAGAGTAGCATAGCTACTCGTCATTGAAGAAAGACTTTCTAACGTTGCATTGAGACGATCTTTCAAATTAAAGTTTAATGTTTGCATTTCATCAGCTTCCTCTTCCAGAGCATTGTAAAGATTGGTCATCATGTTCAGTTGGCCAGAGCAGTTCGTGTACTGTATAGTACATCTTGTTAGCTTTGTACTAATGTCTTGATAGCGCACTCTCCATTCATCAAGTTGGTCGATGCTGCTGTGATGGCTGTT